TCCACTCACCTCAGCCTCCCAAAGCGTGGGATTACAGGCTGAGCCACCGAGCCCAACTAGCATTTTTCATAGCTCAGAACACCCCAGTACAGCAAAGAATTATCCTGCCCAGCATGTCAGTAGTGCTTGTTTAGAAACACTGAACTGACATACTAGAAAACATAGGCTATTCCTGTTGTAGACTCAAAATACAGAGAGTTCTGCATGTTTAATACTTGTTTCTGATTTGTGTGTGTGTGTGTGTGTGTGTGTGTGATACAGGTAAAAGGATTGAGAGGGAAGAGGAGGAAGAAGAGGAAGCCCTTCCTTTAGATATGATGGATGAAGATGACTTACAGTTAATGAAGGATTTGGGGCAAAGAGCATCTTTTCTCACGAGAGATCTTTCTTCTAGGTAATACTTAGTGTTTTAGTCATTCACATCCTTTCACTTTTAAAAACTTGGTTCTGGTTTTATTTCGGTGGTGAGTTCAAGATGTTTGGCTCAGCACAATTTTTACAAAGAATTAACTATTATTCAGTTCATTTTCTAAATAAGGGAAGTTCCTGTGTAAAACAAGCTGATTTTATCTGGTATACATCTGTTTTTTAATCCGAGTAGTGAAATAGAGTGAATGGTAGAAGAATGTTCTTCTCAGTTTGAGGCATTGGCAAAATAGTCCTGAGTTCCTTGTACCTGTGATCTCACTTAATCTTCCTTACTCTATTAGGTAGGTCTTTTTCCCATTTCCAGAGAGTAAACTGAAACTTCCTCCAATCACAGGGATTTGAAATTTAAACTTAAATCTTTTTGACTCAAAATCTGTGCTATGCTCTGAAAGACTTTGGGAGAGCAAAAGAAACAGTCACCCTTGGCTTTGTGGAATGTTCTTCAAAAATAATCTGCTGAAGCCGGGCTCAGTGGGTCAGCCTGTAATCCCGCACTTTGGGAGGCTGAGGTGAGTGGATTGCTTGAGCCCGCGGGTTCGAGACCCACCTCGGCAACTTGGCGAGACCTCATCTCTACAATAAATCAAAAATTAGCTGGGTGTGTTAACGCACACCTGTAGTTCCAGCTACTTGGAAGGCTGAGGGGGAAGGATCACCAGAGCCAAGCAGGTCGAGGCTGTGGTGGCCGGGAGCATGCCACTGCAGTCCAGTCTGGGTGGCAGAGTGAGACTCCAACTAAAAAAAAAAAATAATAATAATCTGCTGAAACTTTCACCTTTATTTTGCATCTAAAGGGGAACTAGATGTGGCCAAAGTTGGAGTCTTTGTGGCAGACTGTTTACCCAGTTCATTTCTTCATTTGCTATTTGATGTCTGCTGTGTGTCAGGCACTGACCCAGGTGTTATCTTTACACCTATTGAAGGTTGGATGGTGGTTTTTTCTGTAATTTCAAAATGATAGGTAGGGTGGTTTTTCTTCTTTGAAAAACTTGCCCATGGTAGATCTTTTTGCCATGAATCTTCTTTCTTCCTTTTACTCGCTAATAAAATTTGTTAAAAATAAATAAATAAATAAAGATAGGTACCTTTTTAAAATATATTGACTGAAAATTGAATTTTTTTTCCTGCAGTGAGCCTGTTCATGTCAAGAAACGAAAGCACGAGCACATTATAGATAAATATGAAAAAATACCAAGAACTCTGCAAACTGCACCAGAGAAGGAACTGATTCATTTGCTTCCTATCAAAGATCAAAGTGGTATAATCCCACAGACCAGGGAGAAGCCAGGTGAGTCTAATCAGCTAGTGTACTCATTAACGTTTTAGCTCCTTGCGTATCATGTATTTTCATTCAAAAGTTAATTTTATTTTGATGTTTACCTGTGTCTACAAAATAAGTTTGGTGATTTTGGCCATAACTACGGGTGATTATCTCAGGTCTTCATTTGTACTGTGAGGACAACTGAAACTACAAGGTTCAGGTGGTTTTAAAGAGTTTGTTTTATCAACCTTTATTGTTTCTGAAATTAGAGCATATTAACTACCCTTGATTAGCCTTCTTTAAAAAATTTTTGTGTGAAATAGAAAAATGCAGAAATCAAAGATGTAAAGTTACATGGCTTGTCACAAAGCACACACCCATAAAACTACCATCCAGGCAAAAAGCAGGTACTGCTGGCATCCAGAAGCCTCCCTTGTGCTCCCCTCAGTCACTAATTGCTCTTTCCACATGAGTAATTACTATCTTGAGTTTTATAGTAATCGCTTTCTTGCTTTTCTTTGTAGTTTCACCACTTACATATGTTATCATGGTGTTAATACACATATTTTCTGTTTAGTTTCTGACAGTAACAAAGATGAAGAGGATCAAGAGGAGGAGAGTGACCTCGAAGAAGGTAATGGGATGGTCTTTGTGGTTACTGAATTGCTCATTGAGAATTGCATTCTTTTGCATAGCATTAAATGTGAGTTAATTTTAGATAATATCAGGAAGGTGCATTTTGGAGTACTCATTTCAAGGTCATTTTGAACATTTTTCCACATTTGAAAGCTTCACCTTATAGATTTTGATTCTTTCAAAAAAATAATTTTTAATAGCTGGGCTCAGTGGCTCAGCCTGTAATCCCGCGCTTTGGGAGGCTGAGGTAAGTGAATTGCCTGAGCCTGCAGGTTCGAGACCTACCTGGGCAACTTGGTGAGGCCTCATCTTTATAATAAATCAAAAATTAGCCGGGCATGGTGGCACGCACCTGTGGTTCCAGCTACTTGGAAGGCTGAGGTAGAAGGATCACCGGAGCCCAGCAGGTCGAGGCTGCGGTGGCTGGGAACGGCCGCTGCACTCCAGTCTGGGTGACAGAGTGAGACTCCAACTCAAAAAAAAAAAAAATTATTATTATGGAAAAATGTGCCAGACCTGGTGGCTCATGCCTGTAATCCCAGCACTTTGGGAGGCGGAGGTGAGAGGATTGCTTGAGACCAGGGGTTCGAGACCAGCCGACAACTTGGTGAGACCTTGTCTCTACAATAAATCAAGGAAAGCTAGCAGAGTGTGCTGGCGCATTCCTGTAGTTCCAGCTACTTGGAAGGATCACCTGAGCCCAGCAGGTCAAGGCTGTGGTGGCTTTGAGCATGCCACTACATTCCAGCCTGGGCAACAGAGAATCTCCTACTCCAAAAAAAAAAAAAGAAAGAAAGAAAAATGTACACAATATATTTGTAATATCTAGTTATGCATGCAGTCTTGCTAATGACTTCTGAATTCATTTTAATTGTAAGAGAAGGACCTACATACAAATAACTATTCGCTTGTTTGACTTTAAATTATAAAAATGGTTCTGTAGTGTGAAGTCATCCTGGTTTGTTCTCAGCACAGTTATATTTTTATGTGTTTTACTTAATTGTATGTTATTTTTATTTTATTTTGTTTTATTTTTTTGAGGTGGAATCTCACTAAGCCTCCCAGGCCGGAGTGCAGTGGCACTGTAACAACTCACCACTGCCTTGATCTCCAGGGCTCCCGTGATCTTTCCACCTCAGCCTCCTGAGCAGTTAGGACTACAGGTGTGCACTACCATGCCCCAGCTAATTTTTTTTTTTGTATAGATGAGGTCTAGCTATGTTGCCCAGGCTGGTCTTGAACTCCTGGGACTCAAGTGATCTTTCCACCTTGGCCTCCCTTAAGTGCTGAAATTATAGGCGTGAGCCACCACACCTGGCCTCTATGTGTTTTAGGTAGTTAAGTGTGAGTTTCTAACATCTAGAACAGTTTTAACTAATCAGAGTTAAGCTGAAAGAACAAATTTTGTTGTTTGAAACTTTATTAGTTTAGAATTTGTGAGAGAACAAGCGGGTGACATTTTACTTTCACTTAGCAGACCTTATTAATAAAAAACGAGATTACAGGCCAACTATTGGACTGTTTGTAGTCATCCTTCATGGGCTTATTACACAGTATGCTCATGTTTGTTAAATCTAATTCCTTATGAATTTCCTTGAGTGAACATGTTTTGTGTAGTTCACGGTAACATATAATGTTGAAAACAAAGGAGAATACTTTGTACCTAAAAGAAAAAAAGACCGATTGTCCTTTACCTTAATTAACATGTATTATTGTGGATTTATTAGCATAGAAGTTAAGAATAGAGAAAAGTTTAGAGTCAGACTGCCTGGGAATCCAGTGGGCCCAGTGATAGAACCTGGCTTAAATGATTGTTGAAGGAATGATAATAAATACAAAATTCTTAGCTGTAATCATTATAATTTATTATTACTATAAAAAGAGTATCTTACTAAGGTTTTTGGATACTTATAAATGAAGGAATTTTTAAAGGAAAATCCATTCTGTTTTAGAAATCATTGAAGAACCCATTCGAGAGCTGACCATTGAAGAACATTTCATTGAGAGAAAGAAGAAACTGCAAGAAAAGAAAATGCATATTGCAGCCTTGGCATCTGCCATATTATCAGATCCAGAAAGTAATGTAGGTAGTATTTTTTTTTTTGAGTTGGAGTCTCACTCGGTCGCCCAGACTGGAGTGCAATGGCCGCTCCCGGCCACCGCAGCCTCACCTGCTGGACTCCGGCGATCCTAATGCCTCAGCCTTCCAAGTAGCCGGAATTACAGGCATGCGCTACCACACCTGGCTGATTTTTTTTTTTATTGTAGAGATGAGGTCTCGCTGCCCAGGCGGGTCTCGAACCCGTGGGCTCAGGCAATCCACTCACCTCAGCCTCCCAAAGGCATGTGATTACAGTCTGAGCCACTGAGCCCGGCTGGTAGTATTAATTTCTTTAGGCTCTTTATATTGGATATGGTGTAAATTTCTGATGTATTACAATTCTCTTGTTACCTATAAGCATAAACTAAAAGGAAACTAATTAGCTAAACATAGTAACTGAGTTAGAATAAGAGAGTAAGACAGAATCTTAGCTTAGTCCTTTGAGCTTATTTCGTGATCTTAGAAAAAGTACTTAAACTTGCTGGATCTTATTTTCATCTTCAAATGACAATGTTGGAGGTATTATAACTCTAAAAGTGGTTAAGTCTATAAAAATTAATTATATGAGGGAGGAGGAACCTGCTTGTGAATTTGCCTGACTTACTTATCTAGAGTTTTTCTTTTTTGAGTTGCAGTCTCACTCTGTCGCCCAGACTGGTGTGCAGTGGCCGCTCCGGCCATCGCAGCCTCGACCTGCTGGGCTCCGGCGATCCTTCTGCCTCAGTTTTCCAAGGAGCTGGAACTACAGGCGCGTGCTACCACGCCCGGCTGATTTTATTTATTTATTTATTTATTGTAGAGATGAGGTCTCGCCAAGTTGCCCAGGCGGGTCTCGAACCCGCAGGCTCAGGCAATCCACTCACCTCAGCCTTCCAAGGTGCGGGATTACAAGCTGAGCCACCAAGCCTGGCTATCATAGAGTTTGTTGTTTTTTTTTTGTTTTTTTTTTTTGAGTTGGAGTCTCACTTGGTCGCCCAGACTAGAGTGCAGTGGCCGCTCCTGGCCATCGCAGCCTCACCTGCTGGGCTCCAGCGATCCTTCCGCCTCAGCCTTCCGAGTAGCCGGAATTACAGGCATGCGCTACCACACCTGGCTGATTTTTTGATTTAGTGTAGAGATGAGGTCTTGCTGCCCAGGAGGGTCTCGAACCCGCGTCGTAGAGTTTTTAATAAGGAAAATATTACATAGAAATCAGTGACGTTATTTCGGGTGTATTTTTAAGTGGAAAATGTTTTAAGGGAACCAGAGCTAGAGTTACAGTGAATCCTCATTGCACCATGTATATGTGGTAGAAGTAGTGATGTTTGTGTAGAACACATGAACTTAAGAAACCGGAGATTCAGTCTTGGCCTTGCTGAGTACTATCAGTGAGACTTCGGGTAAGTTATTTTACCCAAGAGTCAGTCTCTTCATCTCTACAAAGAGAATGGTCTCTCTTTCAATGCTTTGTTGTGAGGATTAAGTCGTAAAATATGCATGAAGTCATATAAAGTGATACCGTGATTGTTATGTTGCTGTCCCCAGCATCTTACTATGATAAGCATTTGTTTATTGAATGATAAAATAGATTCTGTATTGAAAAAAATTTTTTTTTTTTTTTTTTTGAGTTGGAGTCTCACTCTGTCGCCCAGACTGGAGTGCAGTGGCTGCTCTCGGCCACTGCAGCCTCGACCTGCTGGGCTCCGGCGATCCTTCTGCCTCAGCCTTCCGAGTAGCTGGAACTACAGGTGCGCGCTACCACGCCCGGCTAATTTTTGGTTTATTGTAGAGATGAGGTCTTGCCAAGTTGCTCAGGTGGGTCTTGAACCCGCGGGCTCAGGCAATCCACTCATCTCAGCCTCCCAAAGTGCTGGAATTACAGGCTGAGCCACCGAGCCCGGCTATCGAAAAGTTTTATGTGGGTATGCTTTGGAGTTGTAGTTGTCCTTTTCTAATGAGGTGAGGGGAAGATCTAGAGCAGAATCAGGAGTGGGATTTGGGATCTTTTTTACTAGTATCATCTCGTTTAATCGTTATACTACCTTAGACATAAGAACTGTTGATCTCACTTTATAGCTGGAAAAAAATCCAAGGATTTGTTCCCGATTTTAACAGCCACTATATTGGAACCTAGATCTTCTGCTCTGGAGCCTATGCTCGTTTCTCACAATTTAGGGATGACAAATGTTGGTGGCATACATGTCCTACTACCAGCTGTGGTAAACATTCCTAAGCAACCAGAATCTTGCTTCTCAGAGTAGTAGTAATAGTTCATCAGAGCAATCTTGTTGAAACCAATTTTTTACTTCTGCATTACATCATAGAAATTTTCTTTATATGTGTCTTGTTGAATTTAAAGTTAGTGTGGCTATCTTGCATTTATATATGATTAATATATTTGATTGAGACCACGCTCAGTGGCTCAGCCTGTAATCCCAGCACTTTGGGAGGCCGAGGCGAGTGGATTACCTAGGCCATGGGTTTGAGACCAGCCCAGGCAACTTGGTGAGACCTTGTCTCTACAATAAATCAAAAATTAGTCGGGCATGGTAGCGTGCACCTGTAGTTCTGGCTATTTGGAGGGTAGAGGCGGAAGGATTGCCTGAGCCCTGTAGGTTGATGCTGAGGTGGACGTGAGGGTGCCACTGCACTCCAGCCTGGGTGACGGAGTGAGACTCCAACTCAATATATATATATATATATTTGATTGATATATATAACATTTGAATATATTCTGAAAAATATTTTGGGAAAAATAGGACATATGTGTCTTAGAAAACCTAATAAAAAATAACTTTTAAAACTAGGTTATTTAACAAAGTTAAACTACTTTATAAAAAGTCTGTATTTTTCTAACTATATAACAAGGATGCGATTACCTTATAACCTCAGTGATTTATCTGCTGGTAAAGTCAGCAGTGTCTGGAGTTCTGTGTTGCTTGATTAGTCTGAGTCATTGTGTGAATTCTATGTGCCAGATATGGCCTGTTGTATTTTGTTTGTAATTGTTTTGCTATAATTGTTTTACCTTAAAAGTTATTTGTTTAACAGATTAAAAAATTGAAAGAATTACGTTCCATGCTGATGGAGCAGGATCCTGATGTGGCTGTTACTGTTCGAAAGCTGGTGATCATTTCTCTGATGGAGTTATTTAAAGACATTACTCCTTCATATAAAATTCGGCCCCTCACAGAAGCAGAAAAATCTACCAAGGTAATGCTAGATATAATTGCTATATAGAATAAGTTGAAATTTTGGAGAACTGGAGATGGGAGAAACGGGCTTTTTTGTTTTGTATCTTTACGGCACTGGGCTTCTACTCGGCATGCATTTTGTGTACTAATGTTTGGGCTTTAATATTCTGATTTAAAAATGATTGATCTTTTTGGTCTTTTCAGACCCGAAAAGAAACCCAGAAGTTAAGAGAGTTTGAAGAAGGCCTGGTTAGCCAGTACAAATTTTATTTGGAAAATCTGGAGCAAATGGTTAAAGGTATATTAAACATAGTTTTCAAGTATGTAACATGGCTAGGTGTGGTGGCTCACGCCTGTAATCTCAGCAATTTGAGTGACCATGGTGGGAGGATTGGTTGTGGTCAGGAGTTCAAAACTAGCTTGGGCAACATAGCAAGATCCCATCCTTTAAAAAAAAAAATGCAACATGCAGACTTGATCATGTAGTTAATTCTGTGCAGTGTTCTGTGGTGTGTAGTGAGAGGCAAATATAGTGTATGGTTAGGAACAGAGTCTAGAGTCAGACTTCGTTGGTTCAAATCCTGGCTCCACTGTGTACTACTTGTGTGATGGGAAACTTAGAGTTTTTCTGTACCTCAGTGTTTCTGTCTATACCATGGGAATAATAAAACCTCATGGGATTATTGTGAGAGAAGTAATTGAATTTATAGATACATAAAGCGCTTAGAACTGTGCCCAGCATATACTTGCTATTATATTTTATCAGCTGTTTAGCATTATTGTTACTGCAGTCTTTTACCTAATAATACTTGTATTTTTATTGAATTTATGAACAGTTGCGATTTATTCTGTTTTTTATTTGGAGGCTTGATAGTCAGGGATAACTTGAAATGGATGCTTGAGTACTTTGAAAATGTACTTATGAGTCAATTATTTGAGATGATAAACTCTTAAACTCTTCTTTTTCTTTGGAAAAGGAAGGACATAGAACAAGTTGGGGTATGAATGGTGAAGGGAGTCAGTTGCCTAGGCCAGGTGCTTTCATTGACCTAAGGGGGATCATTTACTAAGGATCATCTAATTGCTTTCAGCTGGAACAGGAGTGCTAAATCCTGTTGACTTGATAAGGGCATGAAAGGAAGTGGGTGACAAGTAGCTGGGTGGGGTGAGTGGCGTGGTTATTGCTCTGTATTCTGGTGTCCAACTGGAACTTAATAGCATTTGTTCTCCCAACGATAGGGCTTGGAACTTTTTCTTTTTTTTTTTTTAATTTCTGAACCCTTTGGAAGGGCCTGAGAGCTTTGTGTAGACCAGCAGTGTCCAACAGAAATATAACATGTATATATGTCATTTTGGGGGAAAAAAGCAGTGATACTAATTTTAATAGTGAGTTACATATATTCAAAATATCATTTCCTCATGTAAGCAGTTTTAAAAATTAGGTGTCTTACATTCTCTTTTCTTTGGTGCTAAGTTCAAATTTTAGTGTTTATTTTATACTTACAACAGATCTTAATATGGACTGACCACATTTCTTTTTTTTTCTTGAGTTGGAGTCTCACTCTGTCAGCCAGGCTGGAGTGCAGTGGCATGCTCATGGTCACCCCAGCGTTGACCTGCAGGGCTCAGGTGATCCTTCCACCTCAGCCTTCCAAGTAGCTGGAACTACAGGCACACACTACCATGCCTGGCTAAGTTTTTGATTTATTGGTCTTGCCAGGTTGCCCAAGCCATTTTTGAACCCGTGCGTGGGCTCAGGAACCCCCTCACCTTGGCCTCTCAAAGTGTTGGGACTACAGGCTTGAGCCACTGCACCCGGCAAAATATGGCCACATTTCATATGCTTAATTGCTGCTCATGTGCGGCTAGTAGCTTCCATATTGAGTTTTTTCTAAGCAGATCGAACCATTATGAAGTTTTATTTTTAAAGTTGTGTGTGTGTGGTAAGGTACACATTTATTGTAAAAGAAAACCAATGACTTTAAGTTTTGATAAATGGGCTAGTGAGTAACTACAGTTTTCTTTTTATTAGATTGGAAGCAAAGGAAACTGAAGAAAAGTAACGTAGTTTCCTTAAAGGCATACAAAGGACTGGCAGAGGTGGCTGTGAAAAGCCTGTGTGAGCTGTTGGTGACACTGCCTCATTTTAACTTTCACAACAACATCATCGTATTGATTGTCCCTCTCATGAATGATGTGTCAAAATCGGTGGGTTGTTCTAAATGATTATTGTTTGTCCTGTTGTCCTTAACCGAAAATTATACAGTGTGTAATATTTTTTTCTCACAGAATTCTGTTGGAGTTGTTACTTATTGGTAAAACATTGTCAATTTATTAAGCACTGTTTCTTTAAGAAAATTATTTGAGCCTGGCTTGGTGGCTCAGCCTGTCATCCCAGCACTTTGGGAGGCCGAGGCAAGTGGATTACCTGAGTCCACGGTCCGAGACCAGCCGGGCAACTGGGCGAAACCTCTTCTCTAAAATACATAAAAAATTAGCTGGGTGTGGTAGCTCACGCCTGTAGTTTAGACTCCTTCGAAGCCTGAGGCGGAGGATCACCAGAGCCCAGCAGGTCGAAGCTGGGGTGGCTGTGGGTGTGCCACTGCACTCCAGCCTGGGCAACAGAGAGAGACTTCAACTCGAAAAAAGAAAATTATTTGACTGGCTCTGGTGGCTCACACCTGTAATCCCAGCACTTTGGAAGGTGGAGGCAAGAGGATTGCCTGAGTCCCGGGGTTCGAGACCAGCTTGAACAACGTGGCCAGACCTCGTCTCTGCAGTCAATCAAAAAACCAGTTGGGCATGGTGACGTGCACCTGTAGTTATAGCTACTTGGAAGGCTGAGGTGGAGGGATCGCCTGAACCCAGCAGGCCGAGGCTACGGGGCCTTTGAGTGTGCTACTGCACTCCAACCTGGATGACAGAGTGAGGCTCCAACCCAGAAAAAAAAAGAAAAGTATTTGAACATGTTTAGTGCAGTGGTTCTCGACAGGAGGCAGGTTTGCCCCCCGGGAAGATTAGGCAGTATTTGCAGACATTTTTTATTGTCCTGTGTGGTAGTGTTAATAACTGGCATCTGGTAGATAACAGCCAGGGAGGCTTTTAACATTCTGTAACACACAGGACAGCCCTCTGCAACAAGTAATCATCTTCCCCAAAATGTCAGTATTGCTGAGGTTGACAACAAACATTGATTTAGTGTGACATTTTATTTTTCAGATATCTGAAATGTGTTGTGAGGCAGTAAAGAAACTCTTTAAACAAGATAAATTAGGCCAAGCTTCTCTTGGTGTAATTAAAGTGATTTCTGGTTTTGTGAAGGGCAGAAATTATGAAGTTAGACCAGAGGTAAGCCTTTCTTTTCTTACATTGCATTTTATTTGTTTTTAAACTACAAAGTTAATTTTCAATGGTTATGAGAAATTTATTGTTTATAGAAGGGTATAAAGTGAAAAGCACTCAAGCTCCTTAACTTGTAAGCACTGTTAACAGTTTGGTATGTATCCTTGATGTTTTCCATGCAGATATAGGTATATATACTTGCTTGTATTTTAAAATAGCAAATGGATTTATGCTGTGAAAACTGCTTTGGAATTGTTTTCATTTTATATATTGTGAACTTATATTTAGTTCCTATATTATTCCCCTCTTTCTATATCTACCATAGTATTCTATTACATGAATGTATAGCTGCCTACTTGATGGACAACTGAGTTGTTTCTAAATTTTTGGCTGTTACAGTCAGTGTTAAAGAGAGCATTTTGGCCATATTATTTTTTCGTATTGTGTGAGTATTCTGTGAATTAAAATTTTGAAGTGTAGATACTGAGTCTAACAGTAATCACATTTACTCACTTGAGAGAGAATGCCAACCTGTCATCCCAAAACATCTGCTCACTTACTTCCTGCTAGGGATGTGGAGGTCATTTCCCTACTACCAAGCAGAATGTTACCATTTCATCTTTGTTAGACTTGTGGAAAGTTATATGTGTTGCATGTATACTTATTTGTGCATCTTTATTAGTGAGGTTTTGATCCTGCTATTCATTTATTACTCATTTGAATGTTTTGCCTGTTTGTATTATTTGCCAATTTCTCTCCTCAAGTTTTTGTCTTTCTTAATGACTTGTGATAATTTTTTGAATATATACTCATTTCCATAAATATTTGCTGTGTACCAGGCATTATTCTAGTTCCTGAGGATAAAATAGTAACAAAAGAAACAAAACTGTCTGTGTAGTAGCTTACATTACATAGTAAGAATATTAACTCTGTTGCATAGATTGCAGAGTTTTCTCTTTGTTATTCTACCTTTAATTTTGTATTGAGCCTTATATATGAGGCTGCATTTTTGTTATGAATAGAGTCTCCTCAATTCCAAGATTTATACATCGTCTCCTTACAGATTTTTTATTTTAATTTTTATATTTAAATATTTAAGCCAGTTGACATCTTTGTGTGGTATAGGTATAGATTTAATGTATATATTGAATATGTATTTTATATGTAGTCTAACATACATTAAATATTTACAATGTATGTATTTAAAATGGACAGCCAGTTATATTCTGTCACTTGTTTGTTTGTTTTTTGAGTCGAAGTCTCATTATGCTACCTAGGCTGGAGTGCAATGGCATGCTCAAAGCCACCACAGCCTCGAACTGCTGGGCTCAGGCAACCCTTTCACTTCAGCCTTCCAAGTAGCTCAAACTACAGGCATGTGCCACCACGCCTAGCTAATTTTTTTGATTTATTGTAGAGATGAAGTCTCACCAAGTTGCCCAGACTGGTCTCAAACCCCTGACCTCAGGCAATCCTCTCACCTCTGCCTCCCAAAGTGCTGGGATTACAGTTGTGAGCCACCATGCCCAGCTTGTCACTACCTTTTTGTGTACTGATTTAAAATTCTGTTTAATTATTGGAGTCTTATATCTGTAGTATATTTGAATATCTGGTAGGATAATACTGATCAGCATGGGCATAAATGGTAAAGACACAGACCATTCTTTTTTCTCTAAAATATTTTTATATATTTTTGTATATTACTCCAGATGGAATTTATAATGTTTTTTACTTCCTTCTCCTGAAATAGTCCACACAGAGAATATGATTGGAATTGATTCACGTATAGATTAATTATGGAGAATTAAGATATTTATAGAATTGATTTTTCGTATATATTGCCATTTTTAGTGAAATTTTATAGTTTTCTTCATTTGGGTCTTAAATATTTTTTATTTATTTTCAGTGATATAATTTTGGTTGTTGAACTGATATTTTCTGCTGTTTTATTTCCTGATTTCATAGTCTTCCTTTGCCATTATATCCTTTTTAGTCTTTAAAATTGGTTATTTCAGTTGAATCACTAAAATTATAAACATTGGGCATAAACAAAAAAAAACAATTTAGAACTTTTACTCAGAATTGTAATGTGATCAGATAATAAGGCTCGAGCATAAAACTCAGCTATAGGGAATCATGTTAATTTTAGTGATGCTTTTATTCTACTTACATTTAGAAGCATTTTTCATTGATGAGTGATATTTTATGAGCACATAGAATAAGTACAAAATACTCAAAATTGATCTTTTGATACCTAAAATAACTTCAGGTTCACTCTTGATGCCTTTGGTTATATTCCTCATTTTCATTCTGTGCTTTTAACCTTGTAATCCAAAATACTGTCTTCTTCTAAATGTGCGTATTGGAACATCAAAATAATACAAACCTGTAGTTCTCAATGTTTTATTCCGGGGGTGCTGCTGTGCCCACAGGAGGTCAATAGGGTAGTTTCTTCCAGAGAAAGTGTAGGATTTTAAACTCCGTTTTTTTCTTTTTCTTTGAATATGATAATGGTTGTTATAATAGACAAAACACCAACTTCCAAATTAGTTTCAGAATTTTTGAATGGCTTAAAGCAGTAGTTCTTACTGCTTGTGCACCAATATCAGCTGGGAAGTAGAAATGCAAATTCTGGGGCTCTATTTCAGACCTCCTGAATCAACCTCTGGTGACTGGGCCCCTCAGCTTTGTCTCTCCTCCTCCCATGCTGGTCCAGACCTTTTTCTTGCTAGTTTACCCTTCATAATCTTTTTTATTTTTAAAATTTTTTTTTTGAGTTGGAGTCTCACTCCGTCGCCCAAACTGGAGTGCAGTGGCCGCTCCCGGCCACCGCAGCCTCTACCTGCTGGACTCCGGCGATCCTTCCGCTGCAGCCTTCCAAGTAGCTGGAACTACAGGCGTGCGCTACCACGCCTCACTGATTTTTGATTTATTGTAGAGGTAAGGCCTCACCAAGTTGCCCAGGTGGGTTTTGAACCCGCGGGCTCAGGCAGTCCACTCACCTCAGCCTCCCAAAGTGAGGGATTACAGGCTGAGCCACCAAGACCGGTTACCCTTCATAATCTTATCTACCAATGCCAGGTCATGTTTATATTCATTATATTGCAAATAATGTTTTTTGTGTATTTAGCTAGTATTTACTAATGTCCTTTATGTGTATTTATTAGTGTCCTTCCCTATGCTCAAACTATTTGATGACTAGCAAAAATAACTTTCTATAAAATGTGATGAGATATTTCAAAGTTTTTTTTTTTTCATGAATGAAGGAAATAACATTGTTGAATGCTTATCTTTTATATAAGGTTTTTTTTAGGACAGTATACATATTAAGCTGTGTATTTGTGTGTGTTTTTTATTCTATGTTAGATGTTAAGAACATTTTTGTGCCTAAGAATAAAAGAAGTAGAACTGAAAAAAGATACAGAGGACATTAATAAACCAAAAAAGTTCATGACTTTCAAGGAGAAGAGAAAAACTCTTTCAAGAATGCAGAGAAAGGTTTGACTTATTTTCCTTTTTGATTCATTTAAATATTTTGTTGTTTTATTTGATCTTAGCTTAAAATCATAGTGTAGGTAAAAATAATAGGTAAATCATAAATACCAAGATTTTGAAATACAATGATTTTATTTTTCTCAGATACTGCAGAGAAATGTTTTTTTTTTTTTGAGTCTGGATCGCACTCTGTTGCACAGGCTGGAGTTCAGTGTTCAGTGCAGCCTCAAACTTCTGGGCTCAGGCAATCCTCTTGTCTCAGCCTCCTGCTGGGGCTAAAGGATGTGCCACCACACTTGGCGAAGGTTTTGATTTTTTTTTTTTTTTGAGTTGGAGTCTCACTCTGTCGCCCAGACTGGAGTGCAGTGGCCGCTCCCGGCCACCGGAGCCACCACAGCCTCGACCTGCTGAGCTCCGGCGATCCTTCCGTCTCAGCCTTCCAAGTAGCCAGAATTACAGGCATGCGCTACCACGCCCGGCTGATTTTTTTTGATTTATTGTAGAGATGAGGTCTCACTGCCCAGGCGGGTTTCGAACCCGCAGACTCAGGCAATCCACCTCAGCTTCCCAAAGGCGCGGGATTACAGGCTGAGCCACCGAGCCCGGCTGGTTTTGATTTTTTTATAGGGACGAGGTGTCTCGCCAAGTTGCTCAGGCTGGTCTCGAACCCCTGGGCTCAGGCAATCACACTGTCTCTACCTCCCAAAGTGCTGGGATTACAGATGTGAGCCACTGCACCCAGCTCGGAAATGTTTTCTTAAATCAATATGAACTGGTATTCATATTGATATAAGAGAGATTTGGCAGAGAGAGCAATAATAGGTGAATAGATATTTTTACCATGTTAACTTTTATCCTTTGGCCTTTTAGATCAATTTAGAATCGAGATACATAGATTCCTTCCTTAACAGAAAGGATGCATCCATGTAAAAGTTGGCAGCAAAGTGAGATTCTGTTAATTGAATCTTCTTTATTTTTTTGTTTGTATTTTAAACCTGGGTGGTAATTTCAACTCCCTGCTTATTTACTGAGACTTTGGAAACATTTTTCTTTTTTCCTCTTTTTTTGACTAGGGCTAATGATAGTACTGACCTTACAGGATCAGTATGAATTAAAGAGATTATGTATTTTGAACACTTAGAGTTTATAACACTGGGCATACTTTATAAATACTAGTTACTATCACCACCAACATTATCGTCACTTCTCAAAGCATTTCTAAGCAGTTTATAAGAGTTAGCAAGTTACTTGTGAAAACAAAAAATTTCTGAGGATATTCATCATCGAATGGGTCAAATAAATTTGAAAACATGACAAGTACCAAAATAGACTTAATAGTTGTAAACAAATGAAGGTAAGTACTTTAATGATTTATACCATATTATCCTAATACAGGTTGGAGATCTTTGTTAGGAACAGCACAAACACAGAGGTGGTGGGGAGACAAAGACCCAGTAAGCACATGGCAACTCTTTGACAACTTCCCATGAGAGAGGGAAACCATTCCTCTGTTGTACCCTGTCCCTCTTGCAACTCAGCAACCATTGTTTACTGCTCTTACAGCGTTGGGAATTGGGAAAATTGGATATTTTATTGAATTTTTCTGTGTAGTATCAGTTTCACGCATTGTATATGAATGCAGTTGGGAAGTGCTGTTGATGACTGGCTTCTGTGTTGTAGTGATTTAACACGAGGAAGTGTTTTGAGACTCAGCACATTCTTTCCATCTTTCTGTGTTGAAAAATTTTAATTGAAATCACAGGAGACAATAGTATCTACATTCAGAATAAGCAAATATTAATAGGTTTACTTTAATTTTTTTTCTTGAAAGAAAAAGCCGTTGATGAGAGAGTTGGAATCCCCTTTGTTTATCTTTCCAGCCTCATTCTTCTGCCTTTCTCCCAGGAGACTCCATCATTAATTCGCTCTCGTATCTTTCCTCTCCTTGCTTTTCTACTTTTGCTTATCTTTGCATTCTTGGATAGTATCTGGTATTATTGTAAGTGTTTTATCATATTTACATACCCTGCCTCTCTGCTTTTTTCTCTCAGTGATATATATACTCTTAGATTTTTTAAAAATTTATTTTCAGTGGAAGAAAGCAGAAGAGAAACTTGAGAGAGAGCTTCGGGAGGCAGAAGCTTCAGAGAGTACTGAGAAAAAACTGAAACTGGTAGGAGTTTCACATTCTGTTATGCTTTTAAAATGTTTGGTTAAATAATTTTACCTGGACATTTATCGTTTCAACTTGTAGTTATAGAATGTTGATTTGTTTTGTGAAGTTTAGATATGGGATTTTTGTGATCTGTCAGAAACTGTGATGTGATCAGTGCTAGTTTTACGAAATCATGGGTTGTATGTCTTCATTTTATTTTGCTAAAGTTCCAAAGATTCAGTTGTGAGGAGGTATAGGAAGGGAAACAGAAGGTTGAGCTTTGAAGTCATAATCTTGCTCGCTCAGGAGAAAGCATACCAGGTTGTCCTAAAGTCCTTTTGTCTGTTTCCTCTGCCAGCACACAGAGACTCTGAATATTGTGTTTGTAACCTACTTCCGAATATTGAAGAAGGCCCAGAGGTCATCTCTTCTGCCAGCAGTTCTAGAAGGTCTTGCCAAGTAAGGGCTGTGTAGGTTGAAGCCATTTAGAGTTTCTCTCAATAGTATTTGCATATCCTACCTCTCTGGTTTTTTCACTCAGTGGTAGGTATTTTTAGACCAAAGTAGCCGTGAATTTTAAAAAGAGTTCACTAATGATGACCTATTGTCCTTAGTTTTCATTCTTTTTTGTCATCAACATTTCCTTGAAACTATTCATAACGATAGCTATTTTGGTTCTTTCATCTCAGACGTTTTATTTTTTTGTTTTTGTTTTTTCGTTGGAGTCTCACTCTGTTGCCCAGGCTCGAGTGCAGTGGCACGCTCCTGGCCACTACAGCTTAGATGAGCCTTAGCCTTCCAAGTAGCTGGAACTACAGGCACGTGCCACTATGCCCAGCTAAAACTTTTTATTTTATTTTATTTTATTTTATTTTATTTTTTGAGTTGGAGTCTCACTCTGTCACCCAGACTGGAGTGCAGTGGCCGCTTCCGGCCACCGCAGCCTCGACCTGTTGGGCTCCGGCAATCCTTCTGCCTCAGCCCTTCACGTAGCTGGAACTACAGGCGCGTGCTACCACGCCCAGCTAATTTTTTGATTTGTTGTAGAGATGAGGTCTCGTCAAGTTGCCCAGGCGGGTCTTGAGCCCGCGGGCTCAAGCAATCCACTCACCTCGGCCTCCCAAAGTGCTGGGATTACAGGCTGAGCCACCGAGCCCGGCCAAAACTTTTTATTTTTAAATAGCTCCTTTACTAACTCCTTCCTTCTGTTTACTAAATTCTCTGTGTCTCTAGGTTCATCTCTCAGTTCTTATTTTTTTTCACTGTGCAGTCAGCTTTCTACCAGTGAGTGGATCATGGGGATAACTCTTAAGTCTTTTTCAACCACTTGCCTAAGATTTATTTCTTTCTGTGTAATCTGTTCAAAAACTGGTATATATTTTATACTTACAGCAGATTTGAATTTGGACTAGCTACATTTAAGGGCCTAGTAGACACACATGGCTAGTGGCTACCATGCTTTACAGCATCACTTTAGAGATAAAATTCGAAATAGGACTGATGGCTGGAAGAGATAGAAAAAGCAATTTCTGTTTATTGTAAGAAATTGCTTTCTAGTGACTGGAGCTATTTGGCAGTGGGATGCATTTTCTTTTTTTTGAGGTGGAGTCTCACTCTGTTACCCAGACTGGAGTGCAGTGGCCGCTCCTGGCCACCGCAGCCTTGACCTGCTGGCCTCCAGCGAGACTTCCGCCTCTGCCTTCCGAGTAGCTGGAACTACTGACGTGCGCTACCACACCCGGCTAATTTTTTTTGATTTATTGTAGAGATGAGGTCTCGTCAAGTTGCCCAGGTGGGTCTCGAACCCTCAGTCTCAGGCATTTCGCTCACCTCGGCCTCGCAAAGCGTGGGATTTCAGGCTGAACCACAAAGCCCGGTGGATGCATTTTCTTATCTCATAATGTGGTCCTTGTGGCCAGTGATCTTCAAAGAAAGACTGGTCAGAGAAGAGATTATTCTCTCATTGAGTAGGAACTGCCCTTTATTTTGTTAATGACTAGTTTCATTATCTAAAAAAGTTTTTTAAAATTAGTACATTCTCATTTTTAAAATTCAGGCAGTGCGGTGGCTCATGTTTGTAATCCGGCACTTTGGAAGTCTAAGGCAGGAGGATTGCTTGAGTCCAGGAGTTCAAGACTAGCCTAGGCAACATAGTGAGACTGTGTCTCTACAAAAAATCAGAAAATTAAAAAATTAGCTGGGCATGGTAGCATAAGCCTGTAGTCCCAGGTACTAGGGAAGCTGAGGCAGAAGGATCATTTGAACCCAGGAGGTCCAGACTGCGATAACTTGTGGTCATGCCAGTGCACTTAGCCTGGGTGACAGAGTGAGATCTCTACTCAAAACAAAAAACAACTCAAGTAATGCAGAAGAATATAAAATTTAAAATTACAAGTTCCTCTCTTACATATGAATGTAGGTCTGTCTGCCTGCTTTCTTTCACACAGATAGAGTCATGCTATATATAATATATAGTGTCCTATAACTTCCCTTTTTTTGGGTAAACAGTTTACTTTGAGTATTTTTCCATGTTAGCACGTATAGATCACTATATCACTAATTGTTTTTTTAAAGTTCATAATATTCCATTTTATGGACATGTAATACTTTATTTGGTCAGTCCCTTAGATTGCAGTAGACATGCTTATGATAATATATCTTCATGCACTTTTGTGCTTGCATTGCCAGATCACAAGTATGCTCATTTTAAGTTTTGATCAAAATTGCTTCTCCCAAAAGTTATACCAGTGCATGGAATATGTTACTTTTTTTTTTTTTTTTTTT